TAAGTTTTTTAAATGTAATTATTCATATTATAGTTTGTTTATTAAATATTTATTGAGTGCCTATTCAATAACTTCTAGATGCTGAGGACAAAATGAGAAGATATAGTTCCTGAATTCATGGAGCCTACAGTCTGTTGGGGGAAACCATTAAATAATCACTAAATAAAAGTATGATTAAAAAGTGATAAGCAGTGTAAAATGTCATCTTTTAATTATATATCACACCAAATATCTAAGACACTGAATCTTTCAATTGGCTCCAGCCTTCCCAGGCAATCTTGCCCAAGTAGGTCTAACTTTTTTCTCACGAGGTAGTCAAGCTATCCAATGTGTGCTTATGTATCATGGCCGCACCCTTTTCTCTCAATCTGATTACACTGAAGAGTTAAGAGGATTGGTGAACTAGTTTAGTCTATTTCTCTATTAATAAACCTTAGTTAGTACCCTCCTATAACTGATTCTATCATACACAGCCCAACCTTGATGAAATTGAGCTATTGCCTCAGATGTCAAAGCGTCCTGTTGGAAACTAACAGTGATTTTTAACCTTCACTCTCATAGTGTTTTCTTCCCAAACTTCTATAAAATAGGATTTGGTTATAAGAAGAAACAGATTCAGAAAATTTACACATACTTCGATGAAACGGGCATCCTTTGAAATGGAGAGGTTTCCCAGTGGTGGGTCCAATGCCTTTTTCTCCTGTACACAATGCACGAAAATTTTCTGCAGTTTTGGGTACAATATCTGCAAACAATTCTAAAACAATTCGGCCAACTAAAAGAAAAAACAATGAAATAGTGTCAGTATGCAAAACAACAAAATAAGCAAATGATAAAAGGGCAGTTAGTAAAAGTATGGTGACTAAGCTCTCTTTTTTCCAAGTTCTTTTTTTGTCATTTTTCTAGTATTCAGATTTAGTCTGGATAATGTTAAGCATCATGCATATAGATGAATTTGAAACAATTATTTTTCCACACCTTACAACAGATCATTGATACAGTAGCCAAAAAATTAGCATATAAGAGCCACCATGAAGTACAAATGGTTTTAAATTCTGAGTAATTTTTTGGACAGGTACTCAGAAATACCAATCACTAAAAAACCAATAAGAGAACATTAAACATCCTTTAAGTGGTCAGGTGGGCATAGTTTTAAGTATAGCTGTAGCCTTAGTGCTCTGTGGAACCTGCCTGGTGCAGCTGCTTAAGCAAAAGCTGAAAAAGTTCCCTTGCTAGATAACTCCTAAGGCAGGTAAAAATAGACCTGGAACTAGTTTCAAAACGTGTGTGTGTTGGTCTGTCTCTCNGCCATATTAAGAAAATGCTTCTACTTCATCTTTAAGATAAGGTGCTGCACTAAGGAAATCTAATAATTATACTTTGCCCCTTTTTATGATGCATGCTCTTTTTTCTGAGAAGCACTGAACAGTCTTCCCACTTTAATGGGCCTACATTATGATTCTTCCTTTACCCATCAATGCACTGGGAACAGTGATGGGTTATTCAGTTTAGACAGGACATTCAATTAGGCGCTTGCCCAATCTCAAAAGAATCCATATATTAATGGCTTTCATCCCAGGTGAATCACTTCTTCAGAGATGCCCAAAAAAAACTATTGCATATGTACATACTGAAATCAAATTTCTACCTTGGCATCAATCTGTTCAAAGGTTCTGTGGAACCCAATTTCTTCATCTTTCCACTTTATCCTCAGGCTTTCTAAATGCATTCCTTGTTGGGCCAAGCACTGCAACTCTAACATTAGTCTTCCCACCTAAAATGCTTTTACCCCTCCAATCTAAACCTAATTCAGCTTTCAAGGTCACCAAGTTTGGAGAAGGCAAGAACTATGTGTCCTTTTAATCGGCCTCCTTTCTTCTACTCAACACTATCATCACATAATCTTAGTTTTCATCCGTTTGGTAGCTTCCCTTTTTGCTTTCCAAAAGTTTGGTGCTTTTCCCACAGTATTAAATAGAAATTAACTTTTATTTCTTCAGTCTCCTACTGCCTTTGTCTTTCCTCCTTCACATCCCTCCTTCAAACTGGCATCCATATTTTAGTTTCTGTCTAGCCAAATCTCAGCCACCTTGCAAGGCCCACTGT